TCGTCAAACGACGTGCAGGCGCACATAGTAATAGCATATCGGCGAACCTCGTGTTTCCATTCTGATAATCCTGTTTCCCAGACTCTATAATGAATAGTCCTCAGTTTTCTCTAGGCTCATCAAACAGTTGCCATTCAACACCGCGTTTTACTTTGATTCCCGTCAAACCCACGCAAACCATCTCCATCAACCCACTTGTGCTTTCGCTTTACCTTACAGATGTGTTCTCTTGTTTGAAACTGTAACAAGTACTGTAGCTGGACCTCTCTCTTTCCGCTTGTTCCCCATCTATTACACCGAAATTTTTCTGTTAGTCCTACCAAAGTTCATGACATTACATCCAGTGTTAAATTCCAATTTTAGACGTAACTGCTGGTTCAAACAACCCCGGTCAACCAATGATCTCTCAGCACACATTTTAACCTTGACTTATTGTATCCCCATGCCGGCCCGTAGCCTTAAGAATCACGAGCCTGCCTTGTAATCTGAGGGCATGGGTTCGCGCATGCTCATGGGCCGGGCGACCCTCGTAGTCTCTTTAGCCTACGTGCGCGGCAACAAAGCGTTTGCATTGCAGACCGGCATACTGCTTATACTAATGTATCCCCATTACACGGATCTTTTGGAAAATACTCTGTGATTCATAGGGTTCATTGTCACACAGCTCGCATAGCTTAACGGAAACAGCGCAGTGTTCGTCTGAGCTCACTTCAACAGCACTGTCACCACGCGGCGACTCAAACTGCGCAGACTGCATCTAAGCGCTCCCCAGTGTATCTGTTGTATGTACCCGCGCAAGCTGCAGTGAACTGACTGGGCTCTCCTCAGGCATTACCGCCACGTAGCAACTCATATGCCTTACCAACATTCGTCTCCCTCCATAGTTTATGTATGACGATGCTATGTTGTTGATTTGTAAGTGCGAAGGTGTAGAAAGCATACGTTGTCTTTGGCCGAGTCAGTAACCGAACTCTTGCTATCGACCACTTTTTCTTTTCTGGGTCTCGATGCAGTCATGTGGGATTTCGAGTTTTTTCTCACTTCTGCCCTCATGTTTAGTGTCTAGTGCCTAGATCCCTTAGTCTATACCGATCCAACTCGAATGTGTTACTCTATGCATGGCGTACTATCAGTGAAGATCGTTTCGTCCGTCCTCACTAGGTGTCAAACCACTAGGACGTGTTACCACAATAAAGCAACAACATACACGTTTGTGAATACTCCTCAATGATGTGACCGCGTGTAACAGTGCTACACTTACAGGCGACATCGCATAACAGCTTTTCACGATTACTGGTTAAGACACTTTTCATGACCTTTTGACGAGAGTCCCAACTTTTTTAGCCACGATTCACAGGGCTGTGTGACGATCTAGTGGGAACGTTCATTTGATTTTACTAAAACGAGTGATTTTCGTCGTGAATTGCTGTCAATTTCTTTTTTTGAAATGGAACCCCTATCCGGCTGCTGCGTTTAAGCATCCCACCTTGTTTTTTCCATGTGATGTAGTTGCTATGTCTTGCGAATGAATGGGCTGGCGCATAGCACTGCACACTTTGGCACGCTTTCCGCGTCCACAAATCGCAAGGTTCCGCCGCAAAGCTTTTACAATAATCCTCACCGCCAGTGTACTCGAACTGACCGCCACCTAATATCCCGCATTCAAACCAGTGATGGTGTGGTCCATACGAATCTTCAAATCCTAAATCGCTCTGGAGGTCACGATTTCAGTGGATCATTGGCATCACCGTGTGCTCTTATGCACTGCGTGTGGCCCATCTTTAGTCATTTGTGCATCTACAGCATCGTTCTTATCAGGTTGAACTACCGAATGGACACTGCTTGCGTTCTTCAGTTAGTGTTTGCTTTCAACTTTTCCGGGGGCCCAATCAGCCGTATGCTGAACCTGAAACACTTATGCTGTTTGAATTAGTTCCACCTGACTCCAGTTGTCCACGTGACTGGACATTCAATGTCGGCTCGTCGACCTTGCATCCTCCATCTGGTTGGAACTACGGGGTATGCAATGCATGGACAACTTGGATACAACTTTGATGATCCCCTTTCCGTATGGTTGAAGTCTTGGGTTCTGCTACCCATGTGCTTCGGCACGCAGTCAACGGCGTTGCTGCATTCGGTCTCATCCGCCCAGATGCATCTGGCTTTTCATACGAAGCACACTGTTTGCTATTTCTTCCCTTTGCACATTCTTTTTTTCCGCTGCCATTCGTCCTTTGTTAATATCGAAACGCCCGACCATCGTTGCTTTCCCCTTCACAATCCGCTACTCCTCCGGTAGATAAATGGTCGAATGTTTCCGAACGCTGAGGTCACCAGCGTTACTCCCCAAGAGCTTGTCCAAGAAGACAGTGTTCACTTTCTCTCTCATCATTCTTCCAATTCGTCAAATCTTCGGCTATCCATCCAACTGTGCGCATTATTTGGGGGGCGACGCCCGTCTCCGTAGACATTCAGCAGGCGTGTTTGGACATTGCGACCTAACCTACAGGTACATGGCTTCTGCGCGGTATCACTGAATCGACTACTAGAAGCCATTCGGTATACCTAATTTACTGCATGCTCCTGCTTGATCTGAACAATTCTTCACATTCACATATGGACAAGGAAACCCATTTTCTCCACATTATCTCTTCACGATGTTTACTCTCTGCCTAACTGGAATTCATTCACTTTGTTTCCTCTTCCAGCTAGCACCGCTTCTTTTTTCAGAAAAACCCCACTGGCGTTGTGATGAAGACTTCGGTTGATGTCCCAATGGTCCTGGGTTCCAGTCGCATTTCCGTTGTCTCCACCTGATGAGATCATCCAACTTCGAAACCAGACAAGGAGTGCAGTGTATTCGGCGGGAGACACTCAATATTCACCCGTTTCAGCAGTAATGGTACTACTGATCGATTGGCCAAGGTTTTTCTTTATGGGAATCACGGTCCATATTGCGATTGCACATCGCAGTCCATCCAAATAACGAGTACTTCAAATTGACCCTCCAATCTGTCATTAACCTTTGTGCCAAGCGTTGATCGCCGTGACCCGGTGGTTAGGGGACTAGAGGTTTTGGCTAACACTCCGATGGTTCGGGTTCAATGCCTGCTATCTCTACCTGATGGGATAAAACGGGATCGAATCACGTCATGAGGTGCAGTGTTTTCGGGCGGGTGACACCAAATATCCATTACTTCATCAGTTATGGTCCCAGTGATCGAATTGGCTTAGATTCACTTCATTTGGAATCGTGGTCCACATTACGATTGCGTGTTGCGATCCAATCACTGCGTGTGCTTCAGAACGACATCTTCATCGCATTTCACTCCTCCTCCTTCATACACTTTGACGCACGAATTTTGACCCACTCACCGTTCTTTAAATTGTCCCGATCTGAACACTTTGAGAATCTGTCCGACTTTTTCTGGAAAGCACGGTACACCATTTGGCGAATCTCTCGACTCCTCTCTTTGCCGCCATGGAAAATCGAGGACCTTTTTAATCAGACAAATGTTTTCACCAAATTTTCTCCATTTAACACACCTTACTATCTCTTTCTTAATCGTCTCGCTTCCTACTATACTCCATCTCCGTCCGTCCATGAATTACTACGATATCACTTGCGTATGCATTCCGAATGATGCCCGTTCATTGTTATAACTTACTGCCCAAACCATTCATCTCTCTCTGACCGCCTGTTTAAATATCTCGTATTCTGCTTCAGGACCTTTCAACTTCCCGATGTGTGAACAGTCATTGTTTGCTTCCACGTGTTCAAGTGTATTCCCTCAAACGAAAGTGATAAGAAATGTAGTACAATCCAATGGAAACAATCAAGGTTCCATGCCACCGACCCAGCTGAGCAGAGGACAGCTAAACTCCGTTGTACTTGACTTTGCACTTTGGCCTGAGCAGCATTCAGCTTCATTCGATTGTCGCTAGTCGGGTCAAGATCACTCTACCCCTAACACTCATCCCTTATATTTCATTGCATTAGACAAACACATCTCCGCAGCTTTAACATCATCGTTTTTATCCCCTCGATCATTAGAAGTCCCAATGGATTATTTTGATGGCATCAGTCAAGGGCTTGAGCAATGGTGCAGTTTGTAAGCAACAAAATTCGTTTGGAAGGTTCAAGTGACGCGTTTCCACCGGGATCAAAGGAACAACAAGTGGATAACGGTACTATTTCCAAGTGAATAAATGACCAAATACAATAACTACCTCACCGGTAATGCTTCCAAACTCAGAACAGTTACAATGACAATCGTTTGGTCCGAGTCAACAAGTCCAGCTTCAGAGCGTCCGCTGTACGAAGTCACGGCACTAAGGTACACGGTGTGTTTATAAGACGTGTAAAGCGGTGGGATTGGTTGATCACGCAAAAGGGATGCGGATTGGGTAAGCCTCAAGGGAGTGTGAATTTGGCCTGTTTGGAGCGTTCACCAACTGAGTCACAGATGCACATACACAATGAAGGAATGGTCACACAGGCATAATCGGTGAGAACAAAAGGTCAACGGACAGACATAATCGTTGAAGAGTAAGGTCAGCAAACGAGCCTAATCAGTGCAGAGCCTGGTGTTGACCATCGTAAAAAATTAGACAAAGGTGTAGATGATAATAATACTAATAATAATACTATGTCAGCTGTATGCCGTAACGGCACTTCGCTGTCGTGCGACCACCACCAATCGCACACGGGCTGGGTATACCGCGAGGACGCCCACCCGTACACGGACTCGAACCCACGCTGCAAGTTAACGAGAGAAACTCGTTGCCGCTAGGCTACGGGCCTACAGACAAAGGTGTAGAGGCAATTTGGGATCGTGGGAATGCGAGATACTAACGATTTTAGGGAAGGTAGCACGGAACGAGTTGGAGGCTGAGTTTCACGAAAAAATGCGAGAATATAGTCAACCAGTTTTGTAGGGGAAGGAGGGAATTGTGATCGCGACGTCCGAATATTCTCTACACAGTTTACGGCTCTGTTGCTCCTAGATCTATCGCCTGATGTACGAATTTCTTTCTCAGATACTCGGTTAGCCGGCTTCATTAGTCGCTAATTACTGTTTTGAAAACATCACTCTGTGAGATTTCGGCACATTGTTGTGCCATTTTGGGGCCAGTTGCTTTTGTACAGATTACCAAGAGGTCCACATTTGATTTTACCAAAACGCACGCTTTACATTCATTGATGCACTCAGACCGTAGCGATGGTTGCTCAATGTTTGATTTACTCACAGCCCATTTTTGTCTCATTTGTTTTTGCTCCATAATTATTATTTCGACCAGCGTCCACTGGCGACTGACGTTGCATCGATTCCCATTTCGAATCACTATTTTCTTGTCCCCTCTTCACCCTGTAGTTGTGTTGCGAGCACTTACGTGCCATTCTGAACAGCCGATTGAGCGATCTGCTTGACCCATTTTTTGCCCTAATGCTCCAAGGTAAGCTCTCGTTTTCCGCTCCCCCACATTGCTTTCCCTCCAAAGAAACGCGTTACTTCGGCTCCCAATCCATCTGGACTTGCCTGCTTGATGTGATGAACAACGAAGTGGTCGAATGCGGTGGTTTATCATCATCCACAGAAAGTGTAAGTGTACTTCCTCTTGAGTCCAATTGCAATTCCTCATGTGACCCTCTATACTTACTAGACATGTTCAGCACTTTAGCTGTGATGATAGTCTGATCTTTCAACTGTTGAGCATGTGTATAGAGCCAAATCTCTGCCCTGCATTCCTCCTCGACTTCATTTACTATCATGTGCGGTGCGTGTCGTTCCTTAGCTACCTGGTCGTTGCGATTCTCCTCAGTACAAAAAACACTACTATTTCAAAACACCCACCCGAGCAAGCTCCCAAACCAACTGTATACTACTCGGCGGTCTACCAAATGTACTCACGGCTCTGGGTGTTGTTAGAGGATATGGGTGTGCTGTTGTCAAGTTAGTAGTACTCAGTAGTGGCGGCGATCTACCAGCGTCACTCGCAGTTACGTTGCCTAATCCGCCGTTCCGTACGAGGAAAGTTGTTGATTAGGATTTACCAGAGTGTTCGGGGTAGATTTGCCGCCCTAACTATGGGGCGGGACATCAGTCCAACACATTTCTGAATGCGCCATAGCTGTATGATCATACCTCACTTCGACAAATCTCTTAAGTTCATGCGTATACGGGCGTGTTTCGCTTCGTCGAGAATAAACATTTATTTGTTTATTGTTCAAATAGGATTAACTGAAGACGTAAGTTCAGACGCGGATCACTCACTTGCGGCTCTCTTTTTTTAGAGCCATCGCACAATTTTTCATGCTCCTATTTAAAAGTATACAATAAACTTTCTGTCTCGAGTTAATCACAATTGCTCAGAAAACCCATTTTAAATAGTGTCAGGTATCCAGGGCGTGGATGTGGATTTTGCGTGGTACTCCGCGCTGAATGGTTAGCCTGCAGGTCTTCCGTTGCCAAAGTAGACAACATAATCAGTGCGGCCTTAAGGACCGGGTTCCTAGAGCCTCGTAAGCGACTTTGCGATCCAAATACTTAGAATCCCAGACCTCAATGAACTCACGTGTCTACCTTTCTGAGGATTGTGTATTGCTTCAGGGCGAATCATGTAGTTTTCGGTATCCATGTGTACGGATATCCCAGCCTGATGGGACCGCCTAGTGTGTGAATGCTGACATCTACCAAACGGCGCTCTGAGACTATCTGGAAAATATTTTGTGTGCCTTTTGGTTTCTGGACAGGGCAGGACGGGATCCAAGAATGATACGGTCTTTTGTTTGACGACCGTCCCATTTCTTGTACCACTAAGTAAAACAGAGCCGCCAGCACTTCGAATTGATAGTCGATTATCACGCCTGCGATGGAGAAATACACATTTTCTTGAAGTTACACAAACTACGACGGCGTGATTAGAGCCTGTCACGAACTCCCACGGAAATTCAGGGAACTAGATCGACCAATCTTTGTCTAGCCACTGTTTATAGTCCTCTACCGTTTTACACTCCAGCTAAGCACAACCCGGTTTGCGAAGAACTTAGCTCTTAATTCGGGCCTAGATCTTTGCTGTTTCAAATTTAAGACAATGTCCCTGCAGGGGATTCAAGGAGATCAGTGGACCTGAGATCACTGAGACTCTTAATGACTTTGAATGAGTCTAATAAGCCCTCTCTCAAATTACGTTTTCTCACACACACCTGTGTCTGCTGTTATCACAACTGTTACAATTGGACCCACTTACATTCGGTCTTCGAATAATAGCCGACCTACTGCATGTTGCTGGTCTCTATTTTCTCAACTCACATCCGCAGTCTGCTGGTCACGGTGTTGTACTAATAACCCATCAACCTCGTGTTCGACCTTGTTAGCCAGTGCTGCTCTACTCCTGTCCGGTCTCAGGCAGCCTAAGCGTGCGGATGTGTTTAGTTGTTCCTCGAGCTCTGTTGCAGCCGTCTGCCTATCGTGTTCGTATCATCGGTGCAATCCCTGGTACCGGTTCTGTTTTATCTGACTACGAGGCATCTGCAAACGAACAGCACATGTCGAAGGATAATCTGATATTATCATTAGCATGCCCATCTACGAAGATCCTTAATAGTCACTAAACAGAGATAACTTACCACTCCTTTTTGTGCAGCGTTTGGCGAATGAGTTTTGCCCGCAATATCTTTGGCTCAGTATTTTGCTTCACAAATGGGCGGCTAACTGAGTTCGTATCACTTCACTGCAATCACACACAGCTCGCAGCTCTCTCAGAGTTATCATGAAACTGTGGAGGCAGTTACTCATTTTGTCGTTTGCTTCGACTTTTCGGTTGTCGGGGCTTTGTACCACACATTGAGTCTCTATCCGTTCACAACGACCATTGTGTACCATCCCTTTCCAAGTGTACGCTGCGTTCCGCGTTTATTCTACACCGTGTTAATGGGACCTCACCAACTCTTCAGTTATTTCTCCCATCTTGCATTGACCTTTGCTGGTACCCGACTCTTTATTTTCACCACTTATCTTTCCAGTCCACTAATTCTTCCCTTCCACTAGTAAATTGAGATTTTTTGGAACAAGTTGCCTCCGTTCTATTGATTTTTTACCTCGTGGTTTGCCTCGTTTGTCCACTGACTCAGTCAACCTAATTTATTACTTACACGTATCTGTCTCACATACAAAGTCGGGCAGCGGTCAAGTGCCTGGGAGCCCGGGATCAATCGCTTCGTCTTCTCAAGCTTTGTCTGCAATGCGCACTTTCTTAACCGAGAAGAAATTGTAAGTGCTACCTTGCTCACACGAGACATTCGTATTGGGATCACTGATCTACGTCCAAACCTCAGCAGTTAATACGACCAACTAACTTGTGGTGTTGGTACATTCCTCTTTCCTTACAGTCTTCCACGTTGTTACGGTTCTTGAGGCTATGCTTGTTTCGCAGAAATTGCCATATATCACACATCCACTAGCGGTCAGCGTTGCCTTCAGTGAAGTTGTCGTATCTGTACAGCTTTTCTTCGGCTTGATTTGTAATCTCTTGACAAAGTCCTCGTAGTAACCGTTCCGTCCTTTGACAACATCTCGCCGATGGGCAACACATTTCCAGGACACAGATTTAAGCAGAGATAACCTTTCTGGCGAATTCCCAATGATACTCCGCAACATCTGTCGATCTACATGCTCGCCATACTCACCAATTTACCACTGCTGTTTCTCCTTTTTTGCCAGTAGACTAATTGCTGCCCCGTCTTCTCATTCATTTTTAGGTTTCCGCTCTGCTTAACTCGCTGGGCGCATCTCTTTCCAACCAGCCCTCCTCTACCCTTCCAACTGCAACTACAGTGCGTGAATCTCTGCTGGAAGAACTGCTGCATTCAACCGGCGAAAATGTGACCCTAACCGTGATCGCCATTTTGGGAAGGCTTATCCTTGAACTCGGAGCGAAACTAGGCGCCTGCGTTCGAGAAAATCACATGACAGCTCAGTCCGGTGAGCACCGTGTGAGGTATCCTCTTCGTTGCTCATTATCGCCTTTCACATGTTTGTCTTGTTGTTCGGATGCCTTTAAATCTGTTTTCTTCTCCTCCTGTTCATTCACGTTCTACTCTGCTGATCTCGTTTGGACATCCAGCGTGCAACTCACGTTAGCGTTTACGGTACGTGTGTCGAAAGCTCCCAGACTAGTGTCGCCCGAGGTGTAGATTCTTACAAAGCACAATAGGCTGATGGTTTGAACCTTATGAAGGATGATATATCAGCACGTTCATCTCTTCACACTGGTGCTGACCGAAATATATGCACTCACTTAGGATTTTGGTACCACATATTCTAGCCTCACCAATAATCGCCATGATTTGGTAATGTTAGTGAAGTGAATAGATATAGAAAATGCTTTTCGCTGTGACACAGAGGGTGTTCAATTGTTCTCCAAGCCTGGTGCCTTGGATGCAAACTTCCCCTGAAGTTGCACTTTGTTACCTAGTCAAGTGACGAAAACTTTGCAACCAAAACGTCCAATTCGGAGATCACTGGAGCACTCGAGAAAACGCATGCGCACTTCACTCTCCTTGAAGTTATGTTGATGATGACGGCTAGCCTGGCAACCGTACGTTTGACTAAAACACCCAACTTGAAGAACAACTTCGCTGCCATGAAGCTGCAAACATCTACACGTGGGTTTAAGTACTGCACTGCGCAGAATGTTCCCCAACACATTCTGGCTAGGAGCGAGAACAACAACCTCAGAACAAAGCTGCACACTAGCTAGAAGGGAGACTGTGTAGCCAGGATGTCTCATTGTACTTCGCAGGTGGAAACATTCCTTGCCCCGTACTAGTCTGCTGTAAGCGGAACTACATGTTACAAGAAGCGATATTTTGTTCATAACTTGTCAAAACGCCTGAAGTGTAGAACTGAGCAACTCGAATGGCAACTTAATTGGCAGGGATTGTCAGATTTTGTTTCAGCCAATGATCGCGCTGATCCTTGAGCTGTTCCTTCGGATCCGCTCTCTCGCAAAGCTCTAGCGTGAGTTTGGACTACTGAAGTTGAACAATGCAGTGGGACCAGATGATCTTCTTCCAGCACACTTCCAATTCAGGAGCCCTGCTCTTGTGGCAAAGTGCACGATATATCGGTGAACCTGTGAGAACATGAAGCTGTCCAGCGGACTGGAGCTGCTCGGTTACTGTCCTGATTTTCAAGGGAGACTCAAGTTTAGAAGGCGGCAATCACAGAGATACCAGTCTAATCTCTATCATCTCCAGGGTACTTATCTCTGTCATTCTTCACATACTGGCTGCCACTTATGAACGTCAGATACGTGAATAGCCTCGTCAAAATCGGGGGTGCATTGATCATTACATCACTTGTGGAAGCACCACCTATATTGGCCACCCGCCGTTGTCGTGTTCCTCGAATAAGTGAATCGATAGGTCCTTTGAGACTGATGAAGAATGGTGTATCCGAGAAATACGTAAATTCCATAATAACGTTTTGCGCGTATAGTTCGGACTGAGTGAGATCTTATGGAAAACTGTCGCCGCCCTTCAGTATCTCCAGCGTTATAAGACAGGGGTGTTCGCCCTCCCCTATCCTTTTTAACTTCTCTTTCGCAGAACACGACTTTGGTATGCTCGGCCTTTTAACTTGCTGACGACATTTCCCTAATCTGTGACAACTCACGAACGTGCAAAGCAGCATTGGGCAGTTTAGCACTGGTTGTCAACCGTTTCGGGCTTATCCTTGCACTCTCCGAATGCGTAGCTTTCCCACAGGATTGACAGAAACTTCCCATGCACCGATCTTTGATGGTGATCAGCTAGAAGTCGTTCAAAAATTTCACTACCTGGGAAGTTGTATCAGCGACCCTGGGATGGAAGATGAGATCACGAACCCTATAGCAAAAGCACGAGGCGCTTCTGCCAACCTTCGCCACCTATGGCGCCGGCGCGACGTCACTCTCTCCCCGAAGAGTACAGTTTACAATGCAGTCGTACATTCGAACCTACTGTACGATTGTGAAACGTGGCCCATTCTATTGGCAGAAACAGACTACTTACGTTCGACCACCGGTACATTCGCAGTTTGGGGACACCGCATGAACAACGAGCGTGTTCGACACCTTGATTACAGCACAGGAAAAGAAAATGAACCGCTCAGCGCCGTTATTCCGCCCACCAGGCTCCGATGGCTCGGTCAGATGTTACCCATGCCAGCTCACCGGCCCCCGCGACGTGCGTTGTTTGCGCGCCGGGGGTGTGAATAGAAGAAGAGGATAGGTGACTAAGCGATGACTTTGGTCGACAGGAATGTAGGCCCTCACTTCGAAGCTGGTCTTGGTTGCAGCACATCGGCTCCCTACTTGGAGTCCGAAAGGCGATGAACACGTTCGTCATTAACCGTTATGACAAGCGTTGCTCATCGTGACTCGATGTCTTAAGACTTTGGCTGACCTCCCAGAGTCCCCGCTTTTTTGTAGCTGTCCTGCTATCACTGCTGGGCAAGTGCATGCAATAACGAAATCGGCCATGGAATGCAATGTTTCGCGGGAGTGCTATTTAGATGCATCACCTCCGATTCAGCGCTGCACTTTTAATGCATCACCTCCGATTCAGCGCTGCACTTGAACCATTTCAGTTGGGTGAATCTTGTCTTTCTTTTACCCATGCCAAACGATGAATTGGTCGAGAGGAATGAAACCATTGATTATGTTTCAACAATAACCGATGGTGGGTAGCCCATCAACGTCATGCTTCTGAATATGCAAAAGCGTTTGATTGCGTACCGCATCATCATCATACACGTTAGCTAGAGGTGGGAAACACCCCAGCTACTGTGTCCCAATACACAGAGAAGAGAACAAAATGCAACTGGTGCAAGCCAGCTGAGCTGCCGGTAACGGATGGGCATCGTTCCGGTAAGCTACCAGCGGGCTACTGTGCATCAAAAAAAATTACTATGCAAAATTACATAAGGCTAACTAATGAGATCGTGGTTGCAGGGGGAGGCTAAGAGGGATAGGGTGGGACAAATGAACTCACAGCACGAACGCCACTTAGGTCGGCTCCTAGCCATATCAGCAAGTGTGTCCAACCAAACGTGTTCATCGTCTTTCGGACCCCAACCAGGGAGCCGAGACGTTCCAACCGAGGCCAGCTCAGAAGTGAGGGCCTTCATTCTTCTGGACCAAGTCATCGCTTGGCCACCCCTCCTCTTCTTCCATCCACACCCCCGGCGCGCAAACGTCGCATGTCGCAGGAGTCGGTGGGCTGGCATGCGTAACACGTGGTCGAGCCATCGGAGCCTGGTGCGTGAAATGACGGTGCTGAGCGGTTTATTTTTTTTTCTGTGCCGAAAACAAGGCGTCGAACACGCTCGTTGCTCACTCGGTCTTCCCACTAGATGTGAGCTAAATTGCGAAGGCACCGATGGTCGAATGTAACTAGGCTCGTTATGTCCGTTGATCTAAGGGGCTAGATTTCACAACTGTACAGTAGGGTCGAACGTACCGCTGCACTGTACACTCTACCCTTCAGGGCGACAGTGATGTCGCGCCGATGCCATAAGTGGCGAAGCTTAGCAAAAGCGCCTCGAGCTTTTGCTATACGGTTCGTACCGCACAAACTACTGTTGGTCGTACTTGCCTTCTTTGGGATCAGCATTCCTCTACTGAGCTGGTTCGGCTCATATCTGAACGACGGAACAGACAAAGCACAGAGCCCAACACTGTTCTGCACCCAAAATTGTCGCATGTGATGTCGTTCAGAGAAGCTTATTGGGTCCATTGCTTTCCCTCATTTGTATGATAGATATATGTTATCGCATTCAATACAATCACAATCGAGTAGCGAAAGCAAAATAACTAACAGGCTGCTTGAGTTATTCAAACTCATAACGCACCATCATACAAAGCCGCCTACGCAAAACAGACATATTTGCTTTGGTAAACGCCCAGCGCTCATTTACTATAATGCTTATGGGCGCTTATCAACGTTCACTTATGAAGAACGACGTTCTTAGCTCCAGATTGACCCACTCTGGATTCGAAGGCTGAAAAACAATCTCACTCTTCTCTGGAGTTCAATAGGTTCGCGAGTGTTCTCAACCAATACGGCTGTTGTTTTGCTAAATGGCTCAACCTATCCCACTCGTAATGGGAAATGTCTGCTATTCTTACAGGGGACCAAGCAAAATATCCTGTTGACTTTCTTTTTGATGAGGTACACCCATCTGTGGGATAAGTTATGGTTGCGATTAAGAAGGACCATCGAGTGCCTGTCTAAATGTGGATCTACTTTAAAGCTTTTTTTCCATGCCAAATGTGACCACACTTTTCGACCTTCAATCCAGCGCTTCACTCATGCAAGCCGGCCCCGAAAACATATGATAGAACTAGCTCTCCAATGAGCTTAATTACTGCATACATACATAATTACTACATACATTGCATTACTGACTCAAATTAAAGCCTAGTTCTTAAACGAAATGCTGTTGGAAATCGCTGCACAAATGATCGTTCCACCAAATCGAACGTATCGGACTCGTCGGCAGATGTTTTACTTGTAATTGTAATGTTATCGTCCCGGTTGCTCACAAGCTACATAGCACAGCCTAGTCCGGAAAAGCACCAGACGCGTTTCGCCCTATTGGGGCTCGTCAGTGGTGCGCATTCCCTCGGTCCCCTACTTGGGGATCGAACCCATAACCGCCAGGGGCAGATGCCAGTTAGCCAGCAGCTTTAGCCACTGAGCTGGGCTACACAATTTTCAAGCTATTTATTTCGTATTTGGCTTCGGTTAGTGTCTCAAATGCGGGGTTGAGGCCCGAAAGACTGCGAACACTTTTGGCTGGATACACTCGTCGAACCGACCTCAGTGATGTTTGGGCTGCATTAAATTATACTAACCATGGTATTACTTGTGTTTGTTTTTATTTTCCGTTGTATAATGTTTAGCATCTTTTTTCACAGTCATTATCTTATTGTATTTCGGCACACTAGCTAACGTGTAATGCTGCTGCTGATGATTTAATTATTCGAAGGATGTTTGTGAGTAGCGTAAGGTTCGTAGAAAGTAGAAGCCACGATTATACCGCACACAATAATCTGCCTCGACGGGGAATCGAACCCCGGTCCACGAATTTCCGGTCCGCTGCTCTACCACTGAGCTACCGAGGGCTGACGATTAGGTGCACAATTTGATACACGACTTCTGCTTGGTGCGCGACGTATTGCCAATGAACTCACAGTAACTGTCCTGGTGTTGCAAATTGACTCACTCACTCGTCATATCCCAATGAACCGAAGTAACTGTCCTTCTGAAGTCCAAAGGGCGATGGTAGATTGCTTGAAGGATGTTTGTGAGTTGCGCAAGGTTCGTAGAATTAATTATTCCTTGACTGCACACATCGACATGCATCCATACGCCATCGTTGCACCTAATTTCGTGAAACCTCTGGGTGAATAATCATTAAGGCGGTAAGAGAGTATGCAAGAAGTGGCTGAGATACTTGGCCAAGACAGCGTTTCCAATCTTCGCGGATTGGAACCTCGAGATGAGTCACTCCAGTGAGTAGATACCTTATCCGGTATGGTGCAGTCCCTAGAGTATTGAAGATTTTTCCTTCCTCAAACTCGACATTTTCCTTCGGCAATTTCCTTATTTTGCCTCTGCCTGATTTTTGACTGTGTGTTTGCTTGCGTTTCTCGGTTGCTCGTTTGCTTACTTTCTTTCTTATTTACTTGACGGCGCTGGCCACGGTAGCTGGATCCCGAAGCAATTTGTCGCTGGGGTCGTGGTTAACCAACAGAACCTAACCGATACATTTTTATCCTACGAATTTTTGTTCTCACTCTTTTCCCATTATCATCTTTCCACCTACTGGGTGCCTTTTTAGACGATTGCGGAAGATGTTCTTTCGTTGCTTTGCTATTTTTATCCGACAATTTCCACCACTTCCACTCTATTAAATTATACAGACTATATCAACCTGAACCGCAGCAAAGCATACTCTCGCTTTTCATTCATGCCCACATACTGAAACACCCGTGTTTTCCCATTGTTGTTCTCTGTTTAAGCTTCCTCGATGTTAATGGAACAGCTACTTCATATTCTTGGGCCTTTCATGCAGAAGAGTGCCTCGGCGGCTATTGAAGGCCTCGATTCTCCAGACGGTTTGAATCACCGATATCTGTCTATCTTGGAAGCATCTCTCGCCTCGTCAAGTGATACACTACGACGCGTTTCACAAGGTACTCATCTGTTTGTCTTTTTTCCAAATGTGTGGGTGTTCTCACTATTTTTTCATCGTCTTGTTGGGCGATTTGCTTTGACGCACGCGTGCACATTCATGGCATACTAAGTTGAAAATGCAGTCGCAACGGTTAGTGCGTGAAAATCACCTAAACCATCAATCGACGTACACTACAGTCTCAGCACTGCTCGTGCCGCGCTTGATAGCCTCATCGTTCTGTCGTTGAAAGTACATCCATTCGTCATGCCGTCTGCATTGTCTCCAGCAGAATCACCGAGACCACCTAGGCGAACAGTCTGGCGCAGACCGAAGCACCGTCCCTAATCACTATACACGGTCACCAGTCTACGCAGTTCCGCTGTCTTGGCTGACAGTGTTTGACTGCGCTGTGGCCAGTTCTCTAACATTCTTCTATTGTAGCATGGATTTGACCTCCTGCTTGTTGGTTGACGACTTTGCCACTAAATTGTCCGTCGGTCATCCAATGGATGAGGCATCTACCTTGTAATCCAAAAGTCACCTGTTCAAATCTACTTGAGTGCCGACGACTTTGCAGTATCCTAACCTACGCGTGACTGCACCTTTTCCCGACTGATTGCATTCATAGCGCAATTAAATTGCTCCCTTAGGATCTGACTTTCATCCGTAAGGCAATTAAACTTAGTCGTTAACGCATTTGAATTGCATCCAGTCTCTATTCTACGCACCACGCGTACAGTGTCCTTGAGGTTGATCTAGCCCAAAACAGCCAGTGAGGGTAGATCATCGGCCCATATTATCCATGTATGCTATACCCTCATTGGCTGATTTGGGGTAGATCAATCTCAAGGAAACTACACGCCTGGTGCATCGGAAAGACATTAGATGCAATTCAATCTCGTCAACAACTTTGTTCATTCGCCTTACGGATGCAAGTCAAATCTTTAGGGAACAGTTCAGTTGCACTATGGATGCAGTCAATCGGGAAAAGGTTATCGCGTTGCGGCGAACCGTCAGCGCACCGCAACATTGTGCTTTTGTTGTGTTTTCCGCTGATTTTACGGATAGATTAATGCTACCGCGCAAGCTGACCGGCCAACTTTCCAGTTTCGAAGGCTAAGGCCTCAGGCGAAAACTATATTAAGCACCCGGCAAGCAGTGTAACCAAATCAAATAATGTGCTCGAAACAAAAGTTAATAAGGGAATGGCCTAGCGCTTACTGGCAGGCTTCAAGATTGATCATCCTCATTGGCAGTGTTTAAGTTGAAGCGTCATCGTTAGCCCGCTCTCATTGCTTGGCCAATAAGCTTCGGTCTGCGTCATGGTCAGCTGTTCCGGGCTGCTAGCAATGGTTTGCCTGCTCCCTTAGCAGCTTCTGATGCTCTTCATCACAAGATTGGGGCGTAGTGGTACATAACTTGTCCGAGTCAATTGCATCCATGATGCAGTCAAATTGCTCCTTAACGAAATCTACCTCCGTAAGGATATTCAACTTAAGCTCATAAGGGATTCATATTGCATCCCATGCGTGCGGTTCCTCGTGACCAATGTCAAATCAGCTACTAGCACATCGGACAAGTATGTGCTGCGGCATGTCAGTATGGGTGTGGAACTCAGACCTACCTGCCGCACAGAGCAATCACACCCGTTCGTTTGTATGCGCAATGTGTCTGCGCATGCTAGCGTTGGACAAATGGGATGTGGGAGCTGTTGCTTATTCCCGAGATGGTCCAAATCACAAACCCTGGGACGTATAGCTAAGGATAAGTCAACAACACATGGCTGGAGTCAGGACGAACGCAGACGCGGCAATGAACATGTCTGCGACAGCGCCACCTTCGGCTGTGAGATCAGGTTCTGCTTTATTGGCTGTTTACATACGTAGACTGAACGTAGGCGGAGTATGTGAGGTGATGGTGTGCATCAACTGTATAGCCAAATTTAGCCATCACTTTATGCCCTTATACACCACTCGCATCTCGTCCACTGGCGTCCTCATCTGTGACTTCTGTATATGTAGCTGCTTGATATGGAAAGACCGGTACTCAGGACTTGGTGCTAGTGTCCATTCAGGTCTACATGTAGTCACCAGCCCTTTTCACCACTTGGACCCTACTTTGTGTCAAGTGCGGGATCAAGTGTGGGATCAAGTGTCTGTCCCCTAACCATTACAGTGCAATCCACCGTTGTTGACCACCGCGGTGCTCAACGCGCGGGTAGGCTCACATACTCGGCGTAAATTCGATCTGCTTCTGCGGCATACGACATTCAGTTCAAAATAAATCGCGTTCCTAATTCCAAGTGGCATTTGGTGTACCCGCTGTGCGCTTGGCTTGCGACTCACAATCTCTCTTCAGACCTCGGTCCTCTTTAAAGTAGACCTCGCTCATTGCGATCACAAGAACCGTATCCGAATTGGTGCTTCGGTGTCAAGATTGGAAGGAGCAACACCGAACCACCAACGCGTTCCTAATTGATTATTTTCACTATCCGTTCACCATTGAGTACCTCAGACCAATTAACTGAGTCCCTAATCACTGTGGACAATAATACTCGCTGAACTCGGTGACGTATTGGCAAAGCCGTCTATCGGCATACTCTGCTTGTCACTGTAGTCCCCGTTTAGATATATTTACTTGCAGACCTCAATTAACGACAAGATCAATCATGGACTGCATCGCTTGAAGTGGGTAACCTCTCAAACTACTCACGTTGTACGCATCCTCACTGATCTGAATGACTGGGGATTGCTCCAACTTGATTGGTGGCCAAATTGAGGTCCCTTCTTTTTACCCACCCACTCACAAGTGCTACCACAAAACTAAACACTGAAGACATATGGGCGCATTGTCATCTCCGCGACTAAAATTAGTGCTGATGCGAAATCGACGGGAAGAACGATGGCATTCCTGCAGTTGTACCGAAATTTTGGTCATAAAATACATGTAACACAACCGAATCGTTGACCAGTTCGTTTAAGCATATCAGTAACTTCTCGACTTTCCACCTCTGAAGTTGGTGACCACAAACTCGCCATTTTCCACTTACATATTGCGCCGAGGCAATCATCTATTGTTCGCCTTGGCCGTGGTTCTTTTATGGTACTTATTTTAGGGCCGCTCCATGTTTTCATCCCCCATTGCCCTTCTTTGCTCCACTTTAGTTTGCCCACCTCATGTGGATCCGGCCTGGTCTTGTCTGCTACACGATTCGTTCATTCATTGGCTTATGTCAGCAACTTGTCCATGTGGCCACCAGGACACCAGTCGCCCTTCCCTACCTGGTTTCAACCCTCACATTGGTGCACTTCCCACCGGTCCCCCATCCGCTCCCGTCGGTTCTACTTCATCCGTTCCTTTGTTTGCTGCGTTGTGCGCAATTAAGGATTCCGCGCTAGCGGGTACGGAAAATGATCCCAAACTGTTCACTTTCTCCTGGGCAGCTTGGCGACCAAGCATTGCTACTCTGAACGCTATGATACAGGTGATTTCTAACACTGTACCATCTTGTTATTCTTCGTTACTTCACATTTTTGCACACAGCGTCGCATTGCTTTTATGTGCCTCAGTTATTTTTTGTAAAGGCTTATTGTCAGCCAATATATCTACACCATTTCCCGGCCAATTTGTCCTCTTGGGCAATAGAAATAATCTGAGGGGGCATTCAACATTAGTCTACTCAATTAATTTGTTCCGTGCGTAGGAGCTGAAGCGTCCCACCTGCACCCCTATGACTTAGTGCGTCTGAGGTCCAATTGCCTGAAGGCAACGGGCTATACACGCACACCTACACACCTGCGCAAGTGACTGGCGTACGCACGGATCAAATTAGTTGAGTAGACTCATGTTGAATGCCCCCTCAGATTATTTCTGTTGCCCAAGAGGACAACTTGGCCGGGAAATGGTATAGTGCGCTCCGCTTCATCCACCGTTTGTGCAGTCGTTTGAGTTTTCTGGCTGTTTTGGTCCCCGCGTCACCCCAATTGGCTGCTGTACACTTACAGTCGTTGTGATTGGCTATCGTATTCCTCGGCTAAATTTGATTGGTTATTCCAGTAGATGAGGCACAGAGTAGGTAGCCACCGCGTAGCATGTAGTTGCGTTGTAGATTCCCATTAACTTGTTCTTGTTCTTTTTGTTTCTTTACTTACTGTACACAGTATCAGCTGATTCGTCAACACTTCCGATCAGCTGATGAAGTTATTCGTTGGGATAACCTGGGGAAGCGACCGGATCTTGTACAATAATGTGTACCAAGCGAATCGTTATCAAGCCCTGTTACTGGTCTGATAAATTATCTTCCGGGGGAATCGTTGACTCGTGACGAGACATGCTTGCATCTTGGGTTGCGAATGGCGTGACTGGTGCTTAAACGTCGGATCTTAAAGGAGACCATTACTTTGGCCTCCTCTTTGAGAAAGAAAACAAAAAGGCATCAGTAGTGCGACTGCACACCGTACTGAACCTTTCTTTGTCGCGCAACCACCACCAGTGCCCTCCCGTAGCCTTGGGGTTACGAGCTTGTCTACTAATTTTGGGGCACGAGTTCGATCCTGCGTAGGGGCAGGACGATGCTCGCAGTATTCTTAGCCCACGTGCGACCGGCGGTGGTTGCGCGGCAGCAAAGCGCCGGTACACAGTACCGGCGTACTGCTGATGCCATTCTTCTTCTTTCACTACCACCAGTCACACGAGAGCTGGGTATACCATGAGGTCGCCCGCACTTAGGCAGATTCGAGCAGGCGACCCCAGAACGCATGTGCACAATCCTTTCAACCACCGACCCTTTGTGCCGGTCTTAGTGCTACTAGTTGCACTGAATATCGTTCAGCTATTGTGTCTACATATTCCGAAACCACTGAACTGTAAGCGTCTAGTTTCCGTTTTACAAACCCTTCTATGTGTTAATGCTCGTCCATGCACTTAGTGTTTCGTTCCATGACCAATTTGCATTGGTCATGTCGCACCGTCATCAGTTTGGAAATGAGTGCATCTACTAACTTAAGTGCATTCCCACAGAAGTCCTCTTTCTACAGCCTTTTTCCTTCATAAGATGGTTTTCGAGCACGAAACTAGGGAGCATGGGATTAATATGACAGATCAAAGTGCTCAGCTGCTTACTTATCTAATTGCTCATTTTTTTCAATTTGCACAACTGGGGGAAACAGACCAAACTTCTCTGTGTTCATGGGAAATTCAATTCTAAATGACTTCATTTAAATGCCCCAGTCCACTCAGCTAGCTAGTGTATTTGGGCAAAGTCTGTTAATTCGATATTTGATGTTAAAATGGATCCGTCTTTCAGGAATAGTCGTTTTATTCAGCTAAATGGTGTCAGCGTAGTGTGGCTGTAAAGTATTCGTTTTCAATAATTTTCACCCATTCCTGCGCTGTATACCTCGCAGTCGTACTCTTTTTGTGGCTGTGTTCTTGTTAGGCGTATAACTAAATTACAGTCTTTACACCAGAAACGACAGCATCAACAATAGATAGACAGACGTATGAATAGGAAAATAACTCACAAAAATTACATGTGCAATATACTAGTAATGACTTCTCGTTACTGTGTATGGTATTCCTACTCTTCCGATTACTAGTTGGGGCTTTGCAGCCGACGGAGGTCTTGGAGTGTGAGAATGCGACCAAATGATAACTGCAGGACATTCATGCCGTTGCTAAAGCCTGATTTCGATGTATTCGAGTATTCACAAATGTGTATGTGAAACCACACGCCCGTGTGTTTTGTATGATGTGTGCTTTTTATTGACCCCCCTGTTCCGTGCAGTAGCACATCTCGATCAATTCATCATCAGTGTGTCGAGAATGCTACCTATGTACTTACCTTTCGCTCTGATTGTCAGACATCATAGTGTTGCAGCTGTCGGTGAACCCAGATTGATGACATGTCCGTCTCTCTCTCTCTCTCTCTCCGTGTGTGCAGAGAGCGTAAAGATGCACTGGACCGGGTTACTTCGAGATGGTTGCAACTCGAGATGGATTACGGTGTCATACTAATAGAAATGAAATTCATCTGTCAACTCGAAATGTAACGAAATAGGACACATGTTTCTGTTAACTCTCAGTTGTGGCGACCCCCAGTTTGAAAATCATGCAACGGGTATGAGGATGCGATTAATCTGTTAAGCTGAAATCTAATGCTTACATGCTAATTTAAACATACACGACCTACAGTCCATTATTTTGCTCTGTTCATAACCAATATCCTTATAGTTCATTAAATTACCAACGAAGATTAGCGGCCAGTCAGCTGGTCCGCATAGGTGAAAGACCATTTTTTACACTGTCCGCAGTAGACTCCCTTGGGATTGACTACTTGGCTTGGTTCTTGTATCTGGTCATTCATCTCGTAGGATCACTCATTAGGGATCGACATTTGAGAATGGGCCGAAGCGTATCCTGCTTGATTACATTCAAAAGCTCAATTAAACGGAAGAACCAATGGACGCATTTCCTGATACACCTAAATATTTACTGGGTCGTACACTATTTTGCTGTATTATCAATGACTCCTTTGTGTCCACAACTCTGTCGACATTTTAGGTAGGAATTCCTGATTAGCAGCGCCGCATTCCTAAGAGACCACCACATGAGTACTTTACTACTGTGTGCGAATGAAGACGCTGTCTCAGTACTCCTATCAGTGTCGCACCGGTATTTCGACGTGCTGATGACGTGACCGCTGTCTCAAAGCAACCGTAACGTTGCACTAAAAACAGCGTCGACGTCTTCACCGATAGTATATGCGAGCAAACCTGATTGATGGAAACCGGCTCTGTTCTTCTAAGTAGTTTTTATTCAAATCCTCGAATCTTTAAGCTACTCCATCTTGCAAATGTACGATTTTTCTTTTCGATAGAGATTCGTCACCCTCACACTGAGTCAGCACATCCGGAAAAACACTGTACGTCTGTTGCATCATTTTGAGAATTGTCAGCATTGCGCATCCCATCTGTTCCATATGGGGCTAGAACCAGCGACCCTGGTCATACTCGTCCGTGGGCTAGATGTAAAGAGTGGAAACAGCTGTGACTACGTATCTGACTAATATTGCGTGTACACTCATCCCCCACTGCCATGTACCTTTCTAACCTTCAGAGGACAGGGATGACCCACTGAGGCGCGAACTTTTCTTATTCAACCGCCACCGTCCGATTGCATTATAAACTGGCTTGGGTAACTACTGATGTCTACATCGTAATATGATGTGAAATTCGGATTAACTTTTCGATAGAGATTCGTCACGGTCACGCTTAGCCAGACAATCAGTGGACATGCGGGAAAGCACTAAACGGTCATTTCGTCACTTCGAGAATTATCAGCAGCGCACATTCCGTCTGTTCTCTGTGGGGCCGGAACCCATGGTCGTTGACTGTTTGGTGCTTTCTCGCCGGACTGTGCTAGATGAGTATAGGCAGCGGCATACACCATACGGTTATTGATCGCTGCAGGGTTATCACCACCTCGTGATCCAACGGCTTACTTGCTGACTCGAAGCTGTAGGATTATATCCCATAGCGTTTACGACCATGATGCCAAAGGATGTTCAAATATGAATTTGAATTCATCTAAACGCCTGGACGTTGTATGCACTTCCGGTTCCTACTTCAGTTACACAGTGGACTGACTTTTGAAACCGTCTTGTTCACTTTATCTCAATATCTGGGGTTTTCCGTCGCCATTTTGACAACCCGCTCCGCCACATCTTTGTTCTCCTGCAATGGTTGACATATCACGCCCTGATGATTCGGGTTGATCTCCATCTTTTATATGTGTGCCGAACCGGACATGCTCACGGATAGCTTGTGGACGGTCGATTTATTCAACTTACAAATAACTGTTTTTGTTTCATGTATTAGGAACTCGGTTATTTACTCATTTGATTATTTTGCAATGAAAGGAAATCACGACATCCCGGAACCTATATTTGACGTGCTCTGGTTCGCTGTGTTTCTCGTTAGCCGCCGTGAATTCGCTCCGGTAATGGCGAACACTATTTTCTACGACTATGATTGTTGTAGTGTATGTCGGGGAAGTACACGCAAGACAGGTGCCAAATAGTGCAAGTTGAGTTCGCTTTTAGCCTTTAGCTACTTCGATTTCATGAGATTCATCTGAACGCTTATACTTGTTAATGCAGGCATCTTGCCAACATTTTCAGCGTTTTGCCTTTCCAGTTCCTCACTCTTCGACCTCTTTTTCCCTTGTGGTTCGTTTTCGGCCTGCTCCTCCGCAAACATTCCTAATCTTGTTTCTCAGGTTAAAAACCACGCCGTCGTATGTTCGTCTCTCCTCCATTTCCTCTCCTTCTTTCTCGTTCTAAATTCCGCTCTTGTAGGTACTACTCAAATCGCGTGGACTGCCACGTCCGTTCTCTGGCATCTCCACCGCTTCCGCGATGATTGCATTGCTTGGACCTATCGAATGGCCAACAGCGTACCATTCGGTCGATGTAACGCGTCAGTTCGTTTCTTCGCATTGGGGAACAACCGAACAATCTACTGGGCTGAATTTCTCCGAAATGCAATCGAGTGACCTACGAGTTGCCTTTCTGGAATCACTCAGCTTCCTTCTGGTTCTTCTGACGCTGCTTGCACGCAATGGTGACACTGAGGTTCGTTTGCAACTGCTCAACCCTTGACGCGTGGCCTCTTTGTCCTCGTGTTCCAGTCAGTGAAGCATCTTTTGAATGCACTTTTCGATCCTTTTTCCCAAGCCAACCTGCTTCCACTTAGTCTGGTGGCATGGTGCTGTATTCTGTCTCTGATTTTTTTGCTCAGTATGCAAAGGGAACTGATGTGGGCAATGTGCTTCTTCTCGTTTTCAACGAGCTTCTTCCCTGCCCTCGCTGTTGTCATCGTTTCGGATCACCTAGTGAAGTAAATTGAGTTACACCGCTCCATCTTCATAATTAACGACACTGGTTGCTGAAATATGATATATCTGATGCGTACATATTAAGGCTGAATACATAGTCGATTTGTTTTACTTATCGCACAACATTTGGAAGTGAGCGATTATATACTGAGTATTCAAAGCCTGTTTGATCACGTTGTGCCAGACGTTCGATCTCATTCGTCCCTTGGTAGACGATGTGTACCAATGCAGTTTGGCCCCTTGGTGGTCATTCTCTTATTTGCCATTTATTCTCCTTAGCTGCATGGAGCTTCGCCTGGCGCATGCGGCAAAGGTTCATCACACGATTTGTTGTGTCAACTAATGGGCCTCTTTAGTAAGCGCTTCTACAGCAGCTACATCCCGCCAGAACGGCTAGGGTGCATACTCTTCACCCCAACTTGCTCTACGAATTAGCAGTTGAACTGTATGGACCAATTACGCGACTGTTCGGGGCGTCACTTCGCAGTTGTGCCTTACATTCTCTTTTGAAGCACGCAACCGTCTGTCCCCTATTTCAGCTAAACACTTATCTCAGAACCATTGTCCGGTCAATTTGACGAGCGTTCCAGACAAATTATTGGAAAGACTAGTAAGTGATGCCATTCAAACCCACTTGATGACGTTTGGCTTGCCCAACCCACCTCAACACGACTTTCGCAAATGCCACTCCTGTCTGACTAAATTGTAGTTTACTCGGGAATGCTGGGCTGAAGCGGCAGAGAAGGGTCAAGTGCTTAACGTGTCGCTCATCGACTTCACAAATTTATTCGACACCGTCCTACACTCCCGCCTTTTATCCAAACTACAGTCATTTGACGTCTCCGAGCGGGCTTTTTGGATTTTGGCATTCTTAGTGGACAGTGATGTACTATAAACGCCCCTCTTGGGTCCGTCGTTGGCCATGTTGTAGATATACGTCCTACCTGAGAAACTAGGTGCATCGTTTTTAACGTTCGCAGACGATTTTAAGTTCTGAAATACGATCGTTGATATAGGGGCTCCCAGGACCTACGTTATGCGCTAGACAGAATCTGGGACTTGTCAGTTCCGTGTTAACTGTCAGTAAATCTCTCTAAGTGCTCGACTTTACGCATTGGGACTGTTGGCCCACTTTTTAGGCGGAATCGAGGTGCCGCTTGTGACTGAGCAGGTTGACATACTGTCAACGAATTTCAAGTCTAGCGACAAGTGGACAAAAGCCGCCTGCGTGGGATTCAGTATGATGTGGATAATCCACCGGTCATTCAGAACCCTGACTGGCGGAATGTTTGTTTGACTGTATTCAACCTTCATCAGGCATCACTGCATTCAAGGTTGTCTTCCCTGCTTAATCTGGGACAAGGTCTCAGTGTAGCGGGTCCTGAGGTTCGGTACTAAGATGGTGTGTTGTTTTAGGACGCATATCTTATCCCGAGCGACTACTTAGAGTGGGCGTTTTATCGCCGCACTATCGATGGCAATGGGGGGGGGGGGAATTGGTCCACACCTAGCGCATTTTGACGATTCAACTTGATTCGTACTTTTCTCATTTTTTCTACTCAGCGAGACTGGCTGCCCTCCATAGTCATTCAGAGAAGCTGCACAAGCCTTGATCTGATCGGTTAGCACCTAGAGTAACTAACGCTTAGAATGCCATGCCTAATGACGTTGTGTTGACACCCACGGTAAGAGTTCGAGCCTCGACTGGATGCGCTTGGTTTGCAGCTACGAACCCTTTAATTCAAATTATGGCTCTTATTGCAATTTTTCACGCCGATTTTATCAGTCTTAATTTTCAACGCTTAGATTAGGTCCTTTGTTATTTTTTATATCGGTTTCTTTTCGACCGCTTCCATTACGTTTTGTTTCACGTGACCGAAACAGTAGAGCCCAATGGCGCAGGGCACGTGCGCATTGATCGTTTGACCGAAGTGTGGTACGCACGTGCCAATTTGACACTCAAATGACGAATCGATTCGCCAAAATCTATCCCGAATCAGCGATGTTCTGAATATGGAACATTTGCGTGATTCTGTTACTGTTCCTATCCTACTTGTCTGACGATGGACACGTCCAAAATGTTACCTATTTTTGTCTCGGCGCCGAGTGAGTATCACTCAGGTTCGTCGTTTGGTGTATTTCCACCAGTCCCTCTGATATCGCATTGATCGTGACGAACGGCACGCATTTGTGCGTGTGCACAACCTATTTTTCAACGTGATTCCCTTATGAATATTCTTGCGGCGCGAAAAGAATTCCCTTAAGTCGGATTTTGATTCCTATTATCGATTCACTTGCCTCGGAAAGGGTATAGTGAACCCTGATCGCCTAAATTCGATTGGTCATGTGCTCCACTTACCCTGGCCTATTCGGGTGACATTCCGCGATAATCAGTCAATAATGTGACAGAAAAATACGGATAAACTAGCGGAAATGATGGGTTGGGTTAGTGTGTGGTGTTTTCTCTGATGGAATTTCGTGGACCAACCAACTCGGTGGTAAAGTGCTGATCGCGTATGTCATAGCGATCCGGTCAGTTGCATTGTCCCATTTCTTCAACTACTTCCGACTCCCAACTGCTTCTGACAGTTTTATCTTCACTGACATCCCCATTGGGTTCTCACTTATTATTGCTTTTGTTATTTGTCATTGTCTGGCCTCGTCAATCAAAACATTTTGGTCCCTTATCCCTCCTGGTGCACAGGTCAGAGTCACTCGTTGGATGGAACTAAACTAATTGTTGCTTCACACGCTGAGCTTCGTAATATCCTCATTATGTATCGGCGGCCACGGTTGACCAATAGTCTTGTGGCGAGTTGTAGCCTGTACACATGTGTAGTCACTTGTTAGCGCTTCCTTAGCACCTTGGAATGCGGTGTGGTCTATTCGTGCTAGTGGCAGTCACTTGTGTCTTATAGGCATGAGGCATGCTCGCATGCACACAGAGTGTTTGTGATGCTTGGATAGGGTTTTCAGACTGCTCAGGAATTTCGCTGGTGTGCTTGTTATGACATCCACTATTCTCATACATAGATGTAGTCACAGTGCTCACTCACCGCCCTCCATCCACAAATGGCGATCACATTCTGTCATTCGACCGAACTTGTTTGCATCTGTAAACTATTGCTCATGTCTGCTTTGAGTTAGACCTTAACAACAAACCTTCCGATATACCTCAAGACTCTCTATGGAATATTCGTCGCATCTTACGTCGGCTAGGTAATATTCTTCGCCTGCCTACTGGCTGTCTCAACGTATACTGTTATTGCATTATTTCTTTGGATGGGGTCTTAGGCTGGTCGGTCGGTCGTTATGGTGACAACGAACGAGTGGAAATTAACTAAGAGTCTGACTTTTTTCCACTGTATGCCTAACTCTGAAATGCAGACCTTCTGAATAGGTCACTCCGCCTCTCCCATAGCCTTACCTCTGAATTTTGTCTCTACTCTGCGCTCATCATCATCTTCATTAACAGCATTACATCCGCCATTTGGACGGATGCCACGATAACCTACGGAATAATAAGATGGAGAGAACCGTGACCTAGCTTAAAAGGCTTAAAATACCGTAAACAAACACTCGGGGTCAAGGTGCCTACACCTTGTCAACAACACCATCACAAGCAACTGGCTATCGTGCAAAGATGAGGTATGGGCGAGACAGCTTCCTAGCGACTTTCACTGCACCGCGTCATAATCAGCTATTACCCCGTAGATAACTCAGCGACAAACAGACTTTAAACAGGCGGTCCAGCTAAAAGAAGACAGCAAGCACACTACTATTGCCGACTGCTAGCCATGTCCTTTACCGTCTGAATGCAAACACAAGGTGAATCACATGGACCCCAGCCTAGAAGGTGAGACTGACCGGCGGCACCAAATTTGGTCGTCAATGACTTGATTTCCCGCTCCAAAGCTGATTTTTGCGCACCTCGAGCCTTGCGCCATCCTACATCTGGCATACAAAACTGTTCGCTGCTCAGTAAGCGGTGACTAGGTATGCTTAGTCCGTGCTCAAGCCAACGCACCTTTTTCATTGCTATCTGTTGTTCTAAGTTACTAGCATAACCATCACTGCCAAACACTCGCCTACGCACATCATCGTTGCGGACACGCTGATGCCATCCGACACCAGCAGTGCTCCGCATACAGCGATGATCACCGCAGGCCGTCACATCGAAGCGGCCCGCATCTGCCACCTTTTCTGTCCTTTTTAAGATTGCATTTTGCCTTTCCTTTTGTGTCACAGTAATTATAATAATTATTAATGGTGACTAAGTTATCTCAACATGATCTAGTGTACTTTGGAACATGCTTGGAACCAACTGGGAGTTCATGATTTCAGCAAGTTTTAAATTCAAATAGGGTTTTATGGGCTTTTTCTTGTTTGACTATTAGATCCCTTTAGTAATTTGAATAAAGTCGTAAGAAGACGAGCAATGGAAGAATACGGAATGTTGACGTCTACCAGTGTTCGTCTTCTTACGGTTTTTATTGTTTACGTTTCGCTCTTGACGCGAGGGCTGCTCCCGGTCCGATGATGCTCTTGCGTCACGAGCGAAACGTAACCACAATAAGAAAATTAGGAAAATCTGAATTGTATTTAAAACCTTCTGAAAACAGTGCACTTTGAGTCACTTCGAATTGCTGCTCGCTTTTACTCTATTCATTCCGGTCCAGTCCGTGCATTACCCATCAGCTTGACTTTAACTAAAAGATTTCGTTATTTAGTTCTCTTCTGGGACGAACTTACACATAGTCTTCATAACTATTCATTTTTCCCTTCACTTGATCTCACTGAGTAGGCCGGTAACGTGTTGTTGTCCTCTCGATGACTTCCACACTGGGACTGACATCTTTTCTCATTCATTTCTCCATGTATACATATTCTTTATGCCCTTTCTGCGGAACAGTAATGGGCATGCGTTAGTCTCCTTTACTCCAACCCCTCCCCACCGCTCTTGTTTCTACTCTCGATGTTTCTCGATTTCAGCTCCGGAACAATCTGCAACAAATCATCGAAGCAGTGCTCAGCGACCTCCACTTCTCCCACGTGAACGATCGCTGTTACAGTCTCATTTTGTCCCATCTGGTTGAAGCGCAACTCCCCGCCTACTGTGTCCTCATGCCACCGACATGCTTGGAAGGCAGGCTCTTTGGGTGAGTATACATATTTTCTCGTTGTATTGGATCGTTTACCAACCTTGCTCGTTTCGTCCTCTAGTGTCGCTTTTGTTGAAAGGGATCTACGGGTTACAGTAGGGATTTCACTTTAGATTCTCTCTTCCATACTCATATTTTGGTCCACTGTGTCCGACACGACTCATGGGAGCCGCCCGTTGTTCATTGTTGCTCCCGCGCTTTCACGACGCTTGTTCGATCCTGCCTGTTAAAGCTAAGCTCCGCCACTTATTCTTCAATAACGGACCCTATGGCGCCGCACTGAACCGTCTATTGTCTCTGTTATCTTCTCTCGAAATCTGTTATCTGCCAGCGTTATGTGCCTCATCGGTTGGTGTCTCACAGTAGAGATAAAAAGAACAGGTTTTTTAGCCTTAGACTGGTTCGTTGCACTGAAGCTTCGTTGGCACACGACCGCCACCACCAGTCGCGCACACACTAGGAATACTGCGAGCTTACCTACGCTTAAGCACATCCCAACCGGTGACCTGTGGAATACAGGCCAGATGCTGAACTGCTTAGCCGTCGGACAAAATGCAGACTGTTACCCCACTGTGTTCATTCCGTTTTGCGGCCAGCATACCTGTGGGCTGCCAACAATATGATTGCACCTAGGCCAATTAACACTAATTCATTGCCCCTAACTTTCCGTAGCGATGACATCCAACCGTTTGGTACGTACACTTCGTTCCGTTTGAACACTACACATCAGATATCCCGTACTTTGTACCTCTACTCCAGGGGTAAGGCATTACTTCAGTACTTGCAAACGTATGCACACCCTCCCACCTCTTTACTTTACAACAAATCCCTGAATTAGCTCCGCTGTCTTGCGGGCAGGCTAATCACCCAAAGGCTCGGGGCTGTATTCCCTAAGTCAACACCCTACTTCGGCTTGGGCAACCGTGTAGTATCTCGCCCTCTGACGAAACCATGGACTTTAATGTGTTGTATTGTGTTTTCTTTTACTGTTTCTGTACCTTGTTTTGAGTCCCATGGTTTCTGATGGCTCTTGTCTATTCGTAGACTGTTGCTATATATATATATATATATATATATATATATATATATATATATATATATAGTTTACAACCAAGAGCGAGTTGACAGCTTCATTTATCCGGAAAGTCATGGAAAGGTGTTTTCATGAAGTATGTGAACATTTCACGTGCTCTGTACTGAAACACCACGTTAGGGTCTACGGTGACCTGTTGGATATCCTTCTGACAACAAATGGTGTTCATCAGGGTTGCCCGAGTTCCCCATTTTTATCCACCTTTGTCGTGAACACCATCATTAAAGATTCTCTTACGGAATCTTACGATGCGGGCGTTAAGCTGCTGTCTCGTGAAAGGCTAGTCGGTCTTTATTAAGCGGGCGATGTCCTCTTGCTGTTTAACGGTGTTGGGATGGCCCAATCAACTCTGAATAATTTCTTTAAACTTGTCCCATTATTTGGCATGCACTTCATACCTTCAACGTGCAAGATGTTGTAGGACCACTAGCCACTTGATGACCCCCTAACCCTTGATGGTGAGCAACTCGAGGTAGTCGATCACTTCACCTACCTTGTCAGGTGTATCTGCAACGATGGGAGCATAGCGACTGAATTCAGTTCACGTATTGTAAAAGCTAGAACTGTCCTCTTGAATTTGCAACATCTTTGGTGTCAAAAAGGAGTATCCCTCGTTCTAACAAACAATGTTTACGTGGGCACAGTGAGGACCGTCCTGCTCTAGCGGAGCGCGATTTGGCACCTTCTATCTGAGGATATGAGACGCCTTCATTCTTTGATCCTCGCTGTCCGCAGAGCATTGCTGGTGTGGGGTGGCACCAGCATGTCCATAACGATGATGTGCGTAGGCGAGTGTTAGACATTGATAAGCTTCTTCTTTTAGAACAACTGGTAGTACTGAATAAGTTGTGTTGGCTTGGGCACGGTCTACGTACGCCCGGTCACCGCTTACCGATGATGACCTTCTTTTGTCTGCCAGAAGTGGGGTCGCGTAAGGCACGAGGTGGACAGAAGTTGACTTGGCAGCGGGAAATGAAGTTCCTGACGACCAAACTGGGTGCCGTTGGTCCGTCTCGTCTTCCGGGCTGGAGTCCACGTGACTCGCCTTGTGCTTGGCTCGATACTTTACAGGACATGGCTCGTAACCGACACCATTGGCGCGTCTGCTGCCGTCTCCTAGTCGGACTGCCTGTTTAAAGTTTGTTCGATACCGAGTTATCTGGGGGGTAATGGCTAATTATGAAGCGATGCAGTGAAAGTCGTCAGGACGCTGTCTCGCTGATGCCACCTTATCTTTGCACGATAGCCAGTTGTTTATGACTGTATATTTTTAACACAAGGTGTAGGCGCGTTTGACCCAGCATGTTTGCTTTAGGTATCAACGTTTTACCGTAGGTCCCCTTTCTCTCCCGCTTTTTATTCTTCGTTCCGTAAATCGTTGTTGTACGGCAGCGAAGCATCAGTTTAGGTACCTGATCTACTGCTGTTGCTGATAATAATGTTTTGGAGCCGCGTCATTGCTTGTAGCGATATTGAAAATGCAGCTCACAGCATATTACTGAAGTCCAACCTGCATTCAATAACCTGGGTGATGATATATGTCTTAGGCCAAAGAGTTGTGTATGCAGTACAGTTCTGTAGCACGATTATGAGCTCTCAACTGTGTGCTCGGAAGATTTAAACTGATTATCACTTTTTCCTCCTCATTACTTGTGAAGTATTGCTCGTTTGTGCTGGTTGCACCACATGCAAACAACACTAGGAACTCAATACTTGTAGCGAACACTTTCTGCCTCCGAAATATGGATCTCTGTCGTTACATGTTGCATTAGCTCGACCGCCTCTTGCGTATGCATTACCCTTCTCGTCGGGCGGCTGGATAAATACGTCGCAGTGAACAACCAATATGGTGGCAAAGGGACATAAAAAGCGTGATATCGCGTCTAACATTTGGGTGGATGTCAGAAAAGATGGTCATCAGCAATACCCCGGTACGTAGTACTGAGGGTTTGCTGCCGCATAACCAATACCAGTCACATGTGGACTAAGGATACTGCGCGGATCACCACCCCGTCCCTACCCAGACTCGAACCCGCGGCCTCGGATTAAAAGGCAGGCTTGTAATCCTTAAGTTTACGAGCCATCATGTGTATGTGCATGTAAAACAGGCTGAGTATGCTGCGATGCGGACTGCCGGTTGTTAGCATTTTTGGATTTTAAGGCTCACTGTTTTCTCTTTGTTGAACTCGTTCTATTCTTTCCATCTACATCACAATTATTCCGGCAGGTTAATTTTTTCTCGACTGAAAATCGCATCTATACAGATTGACCGATCTGTTCCTTAATTGGTCTCGCTCCGACAGTAATGCACCCGTCTCAGCAGATCCTAACCACTAGTCGACTCTTTACCACTCGAATGACAGGGCTATAGGTGCCTTTCATTGAGACTGATCCGTGGCCTCATCATGAAATACAGGCTTGGTCTTATTTCGTACATGTGTAATTTTTGGTTATTCTCTTAATGTCAGACTGAATGTGGTCCGACACATTTTTACCTCACAGAATCTGACCCTTCTTGCAAAAGGTTTGAACATCCCTGATCTGCGTTTTGTCGTCAGCTCAAAGAGCGGAATTCAACTCAGGTGACGCAGTTGAACATCGAACAACGAATTTATAGGGGTTAAGAAGTGCTATTTTACAAGTCCCGTTTGGTAGTTTGGAAGGTTATCGATGGACAATGGACAATGGACAATGGTTTATTACGGGTAAAAAAGCATCGCTTAACAAGTCCCGTGGGATGGAAATTATTGCGAAAATCAATTGCATAATAAAGTGAAAAGCGTTGTGGTGAACTCACCATAGACCTCTGTGGAATAGCGGAGATGTTCGCGTATTAAACATAAAAATCCATAAATCCAATGGTTGAGCGTTTGGCAAGAAACCGTTTGATTGCGTTTTGTAGCCACTGGCTAACAAGTCATAAAAGGAAATGTAAGTGAGACAAGCAGCGTCAACACGTTTTTTAAATATCGCCAGATTGGGAGCAGAGACGACATAATTAGGGAGGGCATTCCAAGGCTGGCACACGCGGAGAGAAAAGAAATTTCTACGGCATTCAAGCCGGCTGTAATGAATTGTCAGTTTCAGAGGGTGACCTCTTAGTTTAATGTTGGGGTTCAATTCCAGCAGCGGACGGCAAATGTGGTTTGGGTTCTTCAGAATCTGGTAAACCATTATGAGATCCCCCGCAAAAGCCGATATCGACTGCTGTACATTCTTAGAGATTTCAGTCTAAGCTGATAGGGCAGATGAAAGAGACCCCTGACGTTCTTGGTTGCCCGTCGTTGAGGATTCACGAGAGCAACGAGATCCTGTTTCTGCCACGGCTGCCACGCCTGAATAGCATATTCCACGTGAGGTCGCAAGTAGGCGTTAAGCATTTGGGGAAATATTGATGGTTCAAACCGACCGAAGGCTCTGCGAAGAAGGCCGAAGTGTTGATTTCCGGCTCTCGTCGCCTTCTCTGCTTGATAAAACAGTATGTACTTAAATTTGAAAAGAAGCATTTATCATTTGTTCCGCTGTAGTTCTGCAATCCGCGCAGCTTCACAGCACATATAGTTAACAGCAAGCAAATCTAAGTGTATTCCAGAAGTAGCACGGAGACAAAATTCTAAGTAACAAAGCGTAAGTGGATGAGTGCGTCATCCAACCGTCTTTGAAATCTTGTTAATGTCGGTACAGAGACGACCGATTTAGGGAGGGTATTCCACGGGTGACATACGAGATTGGAAGAGAAATTCCTGCAGAACTCCAGACGGCCATACTGTTCTGCTAGTTTCAGTGAGTAACTTCACAAGTTCGTATTGCTGCTGAGTTGTAGTAAGGAGCGGTACACTAGATGTGGGTAGAGCACAAGCAGATCGCCTTATGATCTGCGATATCGTCCGCTGAACACCCACAATCGG